GAGATCCCCAATTATCGTGGAATCTAGAAAGCAAAAGCTAAACCCAAACAGTCTAAAACGCAGCTAAGAATAGACTGACCTTAGACATAATCCATTCTTCCCGACATAATGCAGTCATATCACAAGGAAACAAGGTACACACTGAAACACACACTCACACAGACACAGAGGCTCTTCCCCCTCCAGGAATGCTTTTAGAGTGTCGAGAGCAGACGCTGTGTGTAGGCAGATGCCGCAGCAGTAATAGTGGAAACTATCATAAATTCTGGATTCATGTGCTCACACTCCAAGAGCTTCATGAGATGGCCTACAACAGAGTATTAAATCTCACAGCAATGCTCTTGTCCTGAATAGGAGGGATTGGAAACAACTTGTTGAACGACTGCTCTTGTGAGCCTCGGAGCAGTGAAGTCATGTGTGCGTGTGCAACTGGCATCACAACATTTTAATTAAAACAAGCCCCCAGAAAGACAAACCAGACAGCGATGTATTTCATTCACAAAAATAAACTAATGAAACAAATACTTTTTCCTTTAGTAATCACGATTAAAACTTAATCGCATAAGTACAATTGTGTAGGAAAAGTTACAAATCATCGGTGCCAAAGACTTCACAAAAAGCAGGATATGATAATGGCCCCGTGCGTTAACGCTGGACGAAGCAGGCGGAGACACAGAGGACTCGGAGACTGGGAATGAATTTAGAGCCGGAGTGGGATTTGAGTTCATTGTGAGCTCGCATGTTTGCGTGTTACACTGCAATCATTTCAAACCCTCGCTGACTCTCCACTGGCTTCAGCAACATTAAACATGACATCCAACAATGGGAATCAATTAAAAGGGTTTGCAAGATTCTAGACACTGACCTCCTCTTGTCAAAACAGCAAATAACAGACAGAAGAAGAAAGAGAGAAGAAGGAGATAAACAAAGTAGCAGAGACGGATGGACGGGGATGAGGGCATACAGTCATTGAGATTTAAAGAGGCTCACTCACGCAGGTCTAGTATGAGCCTGCCTCACGGCCACTGCACTTCCTATGCTACTGTAAACTCCAGACAGTGCTGGGCCTTTGATCGTTGAACTGCAGTAGGCAGCATTTCAGGCTGTAAAAGCAAACTACCTGCACACACATGCACACAGTCGTGTCTCCATGACTCGAGAGGACATTACCTTAACCACAGTTACTACAGAGTTACCATACTTACCCAACACTTACCTCAACCTCAACCCTTAAAAACCTTCAATCTAATGAAGTACATTTTATGGACTTGCTTGTCTTTATAAGGAAACACCGCATGTGTGATTGTGTAAACAGATGTTGGTCCCCGCAACATGAGTAATGCTTGGACCACACACACACACACACTAGCACGCGAGTTTCAAGTCATTTCAGAAAACATATATAACAACGCAATGTGTCAACTGAGGACACACATGCAGCTCTCACGTCTCAGTTTCCAGGAATGCTAGAAGCTCTTTGACGTTGTCATGTGATGCTTTTATTGTGGCACTGCACTGCTCAACAATGTCCCTTCTACTACACATAACAACACTACCAATAACAATTGTACTACTAAATAGTTTATTAAAAATAGAGGAGCGTATATGTCCACCAAGGCCCAGCAGTCCCCTTAAATTCAATCAAGCAGCAACAAATTGTACACGTTTATAGATATCAGTCCCCTAAATATGCATGATTATCTTTTATCTAGGCACATGATCTATTCCCAGGTTTTTATCCACACAAATATTGAACTAGTTCTTTCCTGTTCAAAGATGCATCCTTCTGCCAAGCTTTGTCAAAATCCATCAAGTAGTTTTTGTGTAATGCTGCAAACTAACAGACAAAAAAACACAACGCCAATGAAAACATTAATATTGGTAATAAACCAAACACAGAGACTCAAAAGACAACCAAAAAGAATTGTGTCTCTATTGGTGTTGTTTAAAATCAGGGCTCTGATGGCAAAAAACATTAACAGAAGACAAGCACCACAGGTTCCTGTAACAACGACAGTGAATCCATTCAGAGGTTAAAACCTAATCTGATATGTTGTCAATCAAAGTAAAGTTCACATGCGTATTCATGCATCCGACACCAGACGCCAAATCTACAACCTCCTCGTCTCCCCCTTCCTCATCATGTGAGGTCAATGATGTCGTCCTTAATCTGTGAAGATGGGACGATTCAAAAACTCTACAAAGATTGAAATGAATATTTAATGCAAAAATGCTGTTGGATCTTTCAGTCAACGCTTTTCACATTTTCACACAGCTCAGTTTTCAAGCTGCTCCTCTGGACATTATTTTCCTATTTCCACTAACCCTCAAAACAAGGCTCACGGGAGGAAAACTGCTAATACAATGATGCATCAGTGAAGCTGCAATCTTCCAGCATTGCACCCTGATGATGCCAAATACCATAAAATGTTCAGCGTGTGGATGACTGACAGAACCGCCCCCCCCAAGAGGTCGCAGATTGCATCGATGATACTTGCAGATACTTATTTGAGAGGAAGTTAATGGAGTGGCAGCGCCGTCCATCCTTCCATTTTACAGTGAAAACAAGTCCCGCTGGGGATATAATCTCAAACATCCCTCTCTAGCATCCTGTCGAGCGCTTTTGCTGGGATTCCAAATGTGATATGTAATCCTTCAAGCATGTTCTGGGTCTGCACCTTGTTGGAGTCAGAAACTCCTCCATGGGGAGATATATTGTGTATCACATGACTCACCTCAACTTTCAAAATGAAGGAGCATCAGTTCTAGTCTGAGTTTCTTTGGATGTCTTAGTGTTTGACTTAAGATATCTGGTGCATGGTGCTTGTATCTTCCTCCTTGGTTCCAGGTTCATGGCCACACAGTATGCGAAGGTCAGAATATAGAAATACTAATAATGTCATACTCAATCTCACTCATGAGGAAAGACTGAAGATAGAGACAGAGATCAGAAAGGTTCTTGACCTCCATGCATCATTGACATCAGGCAGGCAGCCCCTCGCTCCTCAGGTTTTACTCTCTACAGGACATCACCCACAGAGCTCAGAGACACAGACATAAGTCAATATGTTCAGTACTGTTCTCTGGATGAGTCTACAACACAGCAGTTCTCTGCCAGGGAATTTTTCACTTCCCCAAAACCTACTCACACTTCTCACCTTCGTCATCTCTGGAAAAGGACAGCATCTGTCTCAGAGTTTCGTTCCCGAGTTGCTGCTGTCCTTTAGAGGAAACTGTATCCAACAATCTGAAGCCTTGAAACAGTCCTTCATACTTTATGCTGTACGATATAAAGATCGACGACAAGACAGCTCGCTTAAAGAGAAGCCAAAGCATCTCTATTGCCACCTGGTGGCTGTCATCAGTATTGCTCATATATCCCACATCATCCATGTTGGTGGATGGTCAGTGGGACATCAGACGTCAAACAAATGTTTCCCAAAGCTTTGGGTGCATGTTTGTGTGCTCATCATGATTGACAGCTGAGACTAAATTGCGATTTGGTGAGTGTGTGTATTGACGGGACCTCGTCAAAATCTAAATCCACAAGATGGCGATGTTTGTATCCAAGATTAATTATTGTATAGTGGGAGGAAGTGGAGATGCATTGTCCAGCTTTTATGCAGGCTCACATCCAGGTGGCATAGGACTCCCCCAAATATTAACAGCAAGTGAAACCACATGGAGACCCTTCAGTGCTTTGAGCATGACCAGGCCCCATGAACTCACCTGCAAAATGCTCTTACAGGCCCATCTACAGAGGGGGGCCCCAGTTCCCTAATTCCAGGCAAGGTCATTTATATTGAGGCCAATTCATGGGGGTCTTGGAATCGCTCTGTCTGGCCCCTCTCTTGGGATCAATTTGCCTTGGAAAACTCCACCAGGTGCTACTATCCCCTGACAACAGAGCTACTTGGGTCACGCAAACCCCAGCACAATGAGAAGCTGGCGACTTATGGGGGATGGTGCTGTAAAATTCTCATGAACTGCAATGTACCTGTTGGGAAAATGATTGTATGTATTGCCAACAGAGTGCATCAGCAGTATGTAATGGAATGATCTTGCTATAATTTGTTCTCTGGTATTTCTAATATGGTGGCTGCCTGAAGTGATACATTAGGTGTTGTTTCCTGGGCCTAGACATCCAAAAGGCCAGAGTGTGAACTGTGTCTGAAGTAGCAGAAGGGACAGATGAACAGGCCAGAATGACACCTAATAGATCAGGTCTTTACGACCACCAGTTCAGAGACGAGAAGGAGACCTGCTGTGGCCAGAAGTCCCTCACTCTCAGGCTTGCCGCCCTGACCTCCCCGGGGGAGCACATCATTAGGGCCCATATAAACTTTTGAAGTGGAGAGTCCAAGTAAAGGCCAGGTATGTAAGGTAGTAAATAGTGACTTTGAATACAAACAGGAAAAGTTAAAGAGTCCACGACCCCTGACACGAAGATGAGTACCTTTGTGCAGTTACGTCCTCTGTTTTTCTCCCCTTGGATAGATACCTGTCAGCCATAACTTATCACCTCCCACTGTTACACTCTATAAGAATAAGAAGTTGAGGGTGTCTTTGAAGTTTTTTTACTCGGGTCGAAAAATCCTCACCAAAGATTCAGTGCAGTCAGTAAAACCACAAATTAATCGAGACATTTAAAATGATAGGGAAAGAAATTCTTCAAAGCTTAGTCATTAGAGCAAATATCTTAACCATCAGTAAAGTGAATGTGAGTCACTGCGGGATCTGTAACATGCACATCGCAAATTTGCTCAAGTGCAGCACATTTCCAGGAAAAGACGAGAGAGATGCTGTAGTGAGTTCTGCACGAGCAAGCGTGTGTGCGTATGCAAATGTTCTTGAAGTATTTAGGAGCGCATACCGAGGAGAGCCTGGTATTCCAAGAGTTTATAGCTCCCTCTCATGTCCAGTGGGTGAGAGACAGCGAGGAGCAGGCAGAGGGTGTTTCTCCATTGCACCTCAGCCAGGGACAGCTGACTGGTTGGGATCTAATTGCTCTCAAGTGAGGTCAGCAGGAGGCATTTATCTAAGCAGAGTGCACGGCGACAGCGGAAGATGCACAGAGTCGGCCTGCCAGAATCAGGGAGAGATCCATGGGAACTGACAGAAGCTCCCAGCTCTTGTTTAGTTTTACTGCATTACTGGACTTGGTTTACCACTGAGGCTTCAGCTGTAGAACTACAGATTCTTCAAATTAAAAGGGAACACACCTCTGACAACTCCTGTCATCCAGCGGAGCTCATGTAAGTCACATGATTTAATGCTTTTTTTTTTAAGAAGCAGTGTAGTTTGTGTGTTTGAAAGCACACGTGTTCTGATACAGAGGAGCTTGCAGACCTGTAGACTTGTGAAGAAATCCAGCAGCATTGATGTAATATTCCCTGTCAGGTAGTCTGTAATAGAGCACCACAGAAATATTAGATTTAATGGGCTCAAAGACATTAAACACATTTTCATTCAAATGCAAAAACAGAGGCTGTTTGATAGTTGTATGAATGTTTTTGGGAATTCTGCAATGAAACTGAGTGAATACAAGCAAATGTTTTATACTTTTAAGCTGCTTCAGCAAAAATCTTTCAGCTTCAATGCCTAACTTCCAACTTCTAGTATAACATTTTTCTAACAGCATTAATCAAACTTGTGTGTTTTTCTTTTTACAGTGATATTGTGTGTAACTTTTCCTGAACGGGATTATGAAGTCCCTTGTCGGACTGTGGTCTCAAGAAGATGGAGCAGTCAACGTGCACTGAAGACTAAACACCGTCTCACAGTTACCCATCGTCTTACTCTTCAGACCGCTCTCCAGCTTCGACCCCGACCACCTTCACAAAGTCCCCCCCCACCACCACCCAGTCTCACGGCCCCAGCAGAAGCAGGGGCGCTGCGGAAACAGTGACCCGGAGGTCACAACACAGGGGTCACAAACCTGGGGTTGCTGGGCTGAGGGATAGTGCACAGATCTCTAGCACGCATTTCAGTATGTTGTTCATTGATCCCCACTGCATTGTATTATAATGCACAAATGGATGCTGACATGGAACCTTCAAAATCCGTTCTCGGGACTGTACTTGCATGCAATCTTCCTGTTGGGCAGCGTGCGTGTGGTCTACAGTGACTGCACTCCAGAGCAACTTGCTGCCATCATGAACTGCTCCAAACAGGAGCGCCACATCAGGAACTACGACTACATGGAGGGAGGAGATGTGCGGATCCGTCAGCTGTTCAGCCGCACACAGTGGTTCCTGACAATCGACGACAGAGGCAACATCAATGGGACTCAAGATCCCACCGACTGCTACAGTAAGGATGGCTCTTATTGTCTAATTTTATGGTTTTTACTCACATTAAACTATATTTTCCACCCCAGCGCAGACTGAGCACTGGATTATGAAATGCTGTAATTGTGCTTTGCAGAGTTGAGCTGTGAAATCTTTCCACTGAACCAGTAAAAAAAACCTTTGGCCTGTCAGGGTGACAGAAGCACGTGGGAGGTGTTATTGTACACAGTTCTCCACAGTGTAATCACAGTGTTAATGGGCAAAGTGTCTGCGTTAGAGCGGCCAAAGTGACAGAGGTAAAATGAAGCAGGTGGAGTTTTTGGCTTGTTAAACCATAACATGATGTAAACACAGGCTGTAATGAAGTAAACTGCAGGATCGTGGAAACCTGATGGGTCCCAGGGCTCCGTGACCTCGCACTCACACTGGTACACTCACGTTGGTTCAGCTCGATTTACTCTCCCATAAACCCACAGCGTCAGAATGGAATCTGGTAGACAAAGAATTGGCACATGAAAGGAACATGGAAAAAATATGAAAAACAAATTTTCATCTCCTGGTTTGTGACGCCTCAAACAGAGGCGGCCACTGCACTGTAAAAACTGTCAAATAATGGTTTACTACTGAATGGGTCATTTTATTTACAGGCCTTGTTAAATATGTTTTAACACTGTTGTTAAAATTGTCACTTCAGAGCCAAAGGTTTTTAAAGCTTGTGTTTTTTTAGATGCCACAGACTTCCTCTGTGATTGAGAGGATGTTTTACGTAGTTATCATTTCCTCTGGTCTGTCAGTACGACTGCGGCTGGAATGTTGGCTTGACAGAGAGATGCCTCATGGAAAAGATGCTTGTGCAACAACTGGCAATGAAAGACAGAAAAATTGATACACCCACATATGCGGCTGACAATCGCACGCTAAAACCTCACGGAAATTAAAGCAGCGAGTCTTTGAAGACAACAACGTGCTGCCGATATATGTGTAATAAATCAGTGATCCGTGTTTTTCGGGTGGAGTGAGCAGGGGAGTCCTGAAAAGTTGATTGCATAATGAGACAGCTTAAAAAAAGAAAAAGAAAGCACAATAAGAAACTAAAGACTTAATTTGAGCTCATCTCTTGCACCACAAAACAAGTTTTTATTAACTTCATCACATTTCATCGGGCTGTTTTGACATGGAAACATAAAGTCTCTTATGTGGATTTTCTTATTCATTGAAGCTTTTGTAACTGGAACACATAGAGAACTAAAATGATTTTTGGCATTATAGACAAAACTGTTTTTGTGTATGGTATACATTTTCAATAATAGTGATAAATCATTAAAGGAATACAAACCCATGTTAAATCTAAGATAACATAGATTTACCTGTAGCAAAATAGTAAATGGTCATTTCAAACACATGTATGTTTGTGTCTAAGTGAAACAACATGTTCATTTTCAACTTCTTATGAGAATATCAATAAAAGACAGCAAAGAGCAGATGAACCACTTTTAACTCATGATAACTTGGAATCAGAGACTCTAATACTGAAAGTTAGAGAGTGGGAGTTTTCTACTGTGGCTCAGGTTATGGTTTGACAGACCTGGTGTCAGGTGGAGCCAAATACAAATAACTGAGACTACATCTGCTCTAAAATAAATTATAAACTATAATACAGATACAATGATTTACAATAAGATTTGCATTTGAAGAAAAAGTAAAAATGAATGATTGAAATGAATTTGTTCGACATCTTGTCACATGTCACCTCTCTGAGACAATCAGTACAAAGCAACCGATCTCAAATTGCACAATCGAGACGTATTCCTGGAAGTCTGTCTGTAATGTCCCTCAGATGTAAATACTGGATTCAAACTGTTCAGGAAAAAGCAGAACTGGGGATTACCCCTGAATTAATTTGCTCGGCCAGGGGCTGGACCAGCGAGTGACAACAAATCTGTTCAAGTTCAGGAAAGCTGGAGACCATCCACATCAGAGCCAAACTGTTTACAGTTGAAATGTGTTTCCATCTTCCCACAGCAGACCATACAAATGCAGCGGGTACATGTAATACGATAGGAATAGCAATCCCATGCTAAAAGAGACACATCTATAATGAAATCCCAGCTTGAGACATGCAATGAATCAAAATTTTACTATAACTTCACTTCAAATCATAAAGAAAACTCAACAGGGGGGTGGGGGCTCATAAACGGACAACGATATTAAGTCAAATATCAAGTACAAACAACATTCCAAGATTGGGAGAGCGCCATCTGTTTGTGATCTAGCAGATGCTAAAATGCAGCATGCTCAATGTCAGTTTGAAAAGGTTTAATAGTCTTCTCCCCTTTTATCTCTGCCTGCCAAACTAAGGAACCTCTGCAATGTGTAAAAATGAACTGCAAGGTTTGAACTGTTATTTAAGTCTGTGATTTGGACCTTAGGGTGCATATTTCTGTGTTACTCTGAGCCCTGTGATTAAAGGTCTTGCAGATTAAGAAATGTTATGATTGAAACAGTATATTACACATCTAAGAACCTTTTCTATGGTGAGACATCATTTCACTTTTTACACTGAGATAATTAGAAGTGTATGACTGGTGGACTAATGATCGATAATCTATTTATCCGTCTGTAAGTTGCATAATGAGCTCCTTTAGTTTCAAGGGAAGGAAATCACCATCACAATTGATTTGAGACCTTTCTACAATGGAGACGTACACATTTGTCTTGTATAGACCTAATTCCCCAGAAGTATAGTCTTCTGATAGATGAACCATTGGTTCTTGAGTTGCTTAATAAAATTATTATTAATACAAAAAAAAACACGAACCAAAATTGAGCATAAGTGTTTTAACTCTCCCACGTATTTGGAGAACAGACCTTAAGTGTAGCGTGCAAAGCTCATGCAAGGAGGTAGTTTCCTCAATCCCAGGAGAGCGAGGCCTAATCTGTCTCCCATATGTGCTATGACCATAGGTTGTGGTTTGTGTAACGGCCACCCAGGCCAGTTAACAAAGCTTGAACAAAGCCAGAGCGAGTCTGATTAACCACAGGAACTTCCATCCCCGTTTGTTAATGATGATGAATGTTGAGCAAGGCGTGGAGCTTGAGTGACGGCTGGATGACGAGTCTTATCTGCTCTGTAATACGTCTCACTCTCCTGACTGTCTGGCAGGTATCCTGGAGATCAGGACCGTGTCCGAGGGGGGTGTACTGGCCATCAAAGGTGTGAAGAGTCAGCTCTTTATTTCCATGAACAAGGCTGGAGTGCTGCAAGGCAAGGTAACGTTTTACCTCAGTCAGAGAAACCGTACACACCACAGTCAATGAGTAGAAGTAGTGTCACCATATTGAGATTAGATACCTACCTACACAGAAATGTTCGGCAAACTGCTCATATTGAATGCAGGCAAAACATCTATTCTCTGATATAGTTGTGCTGAATAAAAGTAACCTAAAAATACATGTGACGATTCATAGATATTAGCGCTATACACGTGCCTGACTTTTCTCTTATAGATCTCTGCATATAGATTCTTTCTTAAGGAAAAACAAATGATCCAGATCCACACACAAATGTATTAGTTATTTTCTGCATCCTTCGTTTTGAAGGAATCTGCCCAGTAGTTTTTACATTATCCTGCTAAATAAGAAACAAACATACAACCCAACAAACACATGCACAGGGTGAGATCACAACCTTATTGGCAGATAAAACATGCTTTTGAACAAAACAAAGCAATGATGAGAATAAACACTAATGCTGGCAACTGCAGATTGTATTATTATTATTAAAGCTTTTATATCTTTCCATGGCAGGATACGTACAATGAAAACTGCAACTTCAAAGAGGTCTTCCTAGAAAACTACTTCAACGCTTACTCCTCTGTAAAGTGGACTAAAAACGGCAAAGAAATGTTCATAGCGCTGTCTCAGAAGGGAAGGCCGATGCGAGGGAAGAAGACGAGGAGGGAGCACATAGCATCTCACTTCATCCCGATGAAATGCAGGGAGGAGGAGAGGAGGGTGGACTGACAGCAGGACTCAAATAGCTTATGATTTCAGCCACATATTATATTTGTTAATAGACACATGTAAACTCAGTACCAAACACCACACTCCACTCTCGTCAAGTTGTATACAAGGTGTGTAGTATTCCATGATGTGTCGTCGTTTTTATATGAGGAAACGACAGATGGGTTCAGTGAAGAATGAGAAAATACTGAAATATTTGTGCATAAACCACTACACGAACTGTAAAAACACTAAAGTCTACTCAATGTTATTGTTATTTTGAGTTAAATATTATGTTTCCTTAAAAAAAGCAGTAAAGTGTTTTCTTATAAAACCGTAAAATATATGAGTGTATATATAAACGCACAGTCAGGACTGTATTCTTTTCTAAGGATGATCAGCACCCAGCCAGATGAGGAGACCTGAACCATCAACACTCAGGTCCAGAGCGGAGGTTTGGCTCGACGTACTGTTGATGTGCTGAAGCAAGCTGGACTTGTCTTTTTTAATAGTACTGGTGCTCAGAGCGCACGAAACACAGGCACAATAAATACCATTACAACAGCGTGTTGGGTGAAATTAGAGTTTGTAGGACCATCTGTTTGTGGATGACTTGCTTTCATCCGTCTGTTCTTCTTTTGTTAAAAACCAGACTCGTGTCCAAATGCATTGTAGCTGCTCACTGACGCCCTCCTTCATTATCAAGGTGTGATTTTGAAATACTAAAATATTCTACTGCTGCTGATGAAAAGATACCATGATTAAAATGTTAACAACATAAAGAATGTGTAAGATGTGCAATTTCTTCCCTCAACAGTGAGAGTCACCAGTACTGTAAGATCATGTATTTATTTGATTTTTTCACAGTAACACAGTAATTATATAATTGAACTTTGTATTAGCCGTACTTATAAGTACATCTAATGCAAAAATCTATTTGTTTTTTATCTTATATTTTTCTTGTCCCCGTCTCATTAAAATCTAATATAATATATATAATATTCCAGTCCTGACCACAATATCACAGTTACTTATAATTCACAGTTCTAAGTTATATGTATTTGTATATATTATATTTGTATATAATAGATGAGTTATATTTTAAAGAATTTCCCTCTATACTTGGATAATTTCCCATGCAACCGTTGAAGCACAGTTTTGCTGACTGCATTCATGCTTCAAGTCACTTAAGTCATGATAAACTTTCATACCTTCAGTCCCTCTACATGTCAGCTGACACACCAGACACCTGGTAAAGAACAACTCAAATGTCTGAGTAGTTTAGTCGTACTAACAGCTCTAATATTAACTCATTTTATTCAATATTAGTGTAAAAATAAATGGCTTCTTGTAACTTCAGCTGAAGAATCTGCCATGTATGGTATGAAACGATGAAGCTGAGCAGCTCTGGAGTGAGATGAAGAGGGATTTTATTCTGCTGACCCACTTCGACAAAAACATTAATACGCCCTTATTTACTCAATAAATCAGACTGGAGACATAAACATAAGGTTTTTTTTAATATTTGCATGCTGACCATTTATAAGAAAGATGACCTCATAGTTCAACTGCATATTTTCATCAATAATCTGAAGCCTGATTCAGCCTAGTTTCAACAGAAATGTGTTCATTTGTGTATAAATATGTCATCTCTGAGTTCCAGTGATTCCCTATTACTGGAAATTGACTGCTCTGTGATTTGTCTTAACCTCAAATCGAAAATCATTTGATAATTTAAGGTTGTTTGGCCTCTAACGCTGTAATTTCTCTGTCAATGTGATACACATTGAGCAACCACGGTGTTTGCTGAACACTGTTATTACCACCGTCCTCTGGAGATATTAACAGATTGAATAATGAGATAATCTAATCTGTAGATATTGTCTCTCAGAAAACTGAACACATGTTGCAAAGAAACATTTGGGAAAACATCAGTGTTCTTGGACGGTCCAAAACATATGATGTGCATAAATAAACTCAGTCTGATAAGTGAGGGTCAGATGTGAGAGGATGAATCTATTACTTATGATGGAAGAGATAAAAAATACATCAAAACTGCCTTTCACTGAATCCCTCTGAATTTCTTTTTGGTCAGAGAACAAAAATATCACAGACATATTGGCAGGGTGCCTACACCATACGTTCATGCAGACATATATAAAGCTGTGCGTGCAGGCATAAAAACACACACCGACACAGAGCTTTACCTTTTGCCTGGGTTCACATCTGGCTTAGAGAACCCCTGTCAGATAAAGACAGTCAAATTGAGAGAGCAAACCCCTGAAATACGTTTGACCCAAACAACATCTGAGCAAGGTGAAGGCTTCTGCCAAGTCACGCAAAGTTAGTCTTAGCAGATAATTTGTAACATGCTCAAAATGTAAACACATTTCAGACTCAAGGCTGTGTATTCCCAGCAGTACGAGGCGAGGCCGAAGCCAAACTAGAGTGAGGGAGAACTGTCACAGACGCGGAGCTGCGGACTTCCAAGAGAGAAGACACAACACATGCACACCAGACACATGAATTACACTTACAAGGTGATCCAAGACCCACAGATTGTGTTTAATAAAATGCTCCTGAAATCACAAATCATTTTAATACCCGTTTTAATGCTTTTTTCATTTTACAAATTCTGCGATTCCTGTGCACTTGTCTTCATCTGTTGTGCATTAGATTTATCAAACAGCTAAATTATGAAAGCAGCTCTGCTCTTGCCAGCGATGACATAGAGTTTTTTGACAGTAAAAAAACGTTTGCCTTGTAATGTCGTCACTGATTGTGTGCAAGCAGGTTGTTTAAACCGACTGTCTGAACCGATTTTTTTTATGAATAAAAACGTATCGATAATCAGACGCAGTCACAACTCATGGTCAAATGTATTGGTTAATAATAATGGAATCCAAACATTGTTATAACACATCAGTAGTTACGGTGGTTTACTGTGGTTTTAATTCACAATGTTGCCATTTTACAAGTTATAATATCAGTTAACGGTAAAGTTATTCTTCACAAATCTCTGCATCTTTCAAGTCAACTTAATTGCAGACACAAAAGGTCCATATCTATATAAAAAGAATAAGACAGAAACATACAAATATATTCATAGCAGCTCACAGATCCAAAATTATTAAACTACAGTATGCCTTCAGGCATTTGCTCCTAATACCTTGTCGAGGCTGAGCTGATGCTATAACTCTCAGTAAATCAACACATTAATTTGTGCATTAAATTCCTCAAGACTGCTCAGAGAGAGTAAAAATACTACAGGCCACAAACATCTGACTTGCACTGGACCCTCTTGGGATTTTAAGAAAGATTCTAAATGCAAAAGTTTTGTCATATCAGCTCAACTGTAGCTGCACCACGAGTGCATCATCCTGAGATGAATAACTACTCCATGACAAGGGTATGCCATTCATTGCTGTGGTTTAAACCAGTAGCTCTACATTTGTGTAGAAGCATGAACGCAGACAACCACATCCCATATCCCAAACAGCGTGTGCGGGCACGAGCAAGGCCTGCAGGGAGGTTGAAGGAAGTCTAACACTGGCTGTGCACAGCTCTGCAGGACAGGATGGAGTGAGACGAGTAAAAGACGGAGGGGAAGATGAGAGAGAAATGCAAGTGAGGATGAACAGGGAGAGAGGCTGGGGAGTCTCGTGCGATCAGGAGAGGTGGTCTTGGGACATCGGGAGGAAAGGGGAGGCCCTGGGGTGAGGGGGAGGGGGGGAGGGGGGACACGTAGCTTAACTTGATACATTTCAGGGCCGTAAACCTTCGTTTCCCAAGAGGAACTCTGGGGTTATGTAACCTGGGGAATTCTCTGTTTGCAGACCTTAGCACGGAAACCCCAGAACACCAGATCGTTGTGAAAGAGGATCAGGACCTCGAGCAACTTCGCACAATATCGCACTTTTCCCTGACAGTGAATTTAATCCACACTGGGAAATGATAAGTTGTTATTAAGAAAAGATGTTTATAATAATACCCTATTACGCTTAAAAGAACACACTCACTTCTTGACATGAAACTGAAGAGAAAAACTGGATGGTTGTTTTAACAGTAAGAAACCATTGAAACCATTGTGCAGTTGTCACACTAGGTGTAGAAAGTGGACGGCTAGTTCACCCATTCGTTTCCAGAGATATGACACACGTTGGGGTGGCTATAGTACCTAAATATTGTTTGGTAATTAAAATCAAATCCAGTTAATTTATAAAGCACATTTATAAACAACCAGATTCAACCATAGTGCTATAGAATAAAAGGAGATAACTAATCTATTATCACCTCATTAGAACCAACACTAAATATCTTTACGTCTCAAACTATTACTACAATGGATGGATGGATGGATGGATGGATGGATGGATGGGTGGGTGGATGGATGGGTGGGTGGATGGATGGATGGATGGATGGATGGATGGATGGATGGATGATATCTGACTTTTCCTAGCTTGAGTTTTAGGTTTGAAATCCACTGACTAATGCTCAGGCATCTGTTCTAGACGTTGATGATGTGATGAGGAGAATGCTGGAGATCAGTATTCTGACGAGCACTGGATATGAAGGGGTGGAGGTGATTAGGGTGGAGTGAATAACATATTTGCTTATCTGTCCAACAAATATTATGCTGTACAGCACTAAAATCTTTCAGGGATTGAGGATCCTGGAGCTTGAAGACGTGTGTAAAGTCTCCAGTGGTTATTTCAGGGTCCAGCAGGGAGTGTACAAAATTCCTTGGAAACACACCACCTGTTTTGTAAAATTGAAATCCAAGAAACATTTATATTAACAGAGGAATGCTGTTATTAGTTGGCAAAATGTTTGTTCCCTGCTGATTCATTAAGGTATTGGAACAACATTCTGACTAACAAATAGCCTCCCTCAAAACTACTGACAGCAAGGTCTGTGGATTATCCAGAGAAACCAGGGCGCTGGTGATGGAAGACATTTCGGTTTTGAGCTTTTTCTTTACTCCTACTGTGTTGGATTTTTCGAACAGAGCGTGTTTCAAAAAACTTTTGGAGTTCACCGCTTGAGAAAAAAGAAAAATGTTCTTTTTCATTTAAGGAAGTGCATCTTTAAAAAAAGAAATGAAGTGGTTTGAAATATGTTTGCAGCATTTAAAGATGTATGCAGTGATTATATGAAATGAAAGGTAATTTACTTTAATGGTAAAAAGTGATGCACTTAAATACTAATACAACAATATTAAGCTTTCACACACTCTTAATTAACTTTTTGTTAATTTTTTTCAGGATGCTTCGATTTCTGTTTCAAGCCTAACTTTAAATTCTTTATGAATGGCTTTACGTTGTCTTAGCACATACAAGTATGTTCAACCATAAATGAACACAGATGCATGTATGCACTTGTGGAGAGGCATAAAAAATGTGGCCATGAGCAGGTCTCTCGTCTCCAGCTGCTCTAGTGAGCCAACTCGAGACCTTGTTCTGCCATGAGAAGAGTTTGGGCTTTGATGATAAAAATACAGTGTGCAACTGTAAGAAGAAATAACACCCTGTAGACAGTGGAAAGTCTGGCAGTGTGAAAACCACTGCAAATATACATAATCAGTGTGTGGTTACCTGAGACCCAGAAGGACAGTGAGGTGTCTTGAAGCTGTCGAGCCGTCATTCTTTTGATTCATTGTGTACTGCTCGTGTCAAGCAGACTGGATACATCCATTCATTCATTCATCCATTCTCTATACCCTGTATAGTTTTATGGCCCCAGGGAGGGAGGCTGGAACCAATCCCCGCTGACACTGTTGGAGTGGTCAGGTGCACCATGGACAGGTCGCCAGTGTATCATCCAGCTGAAAAACAGAGACAAATAACACTGAGGGCCATTGAGAGTGTCTGGTTGACCTAAGTGATGTCTGTGGACCAGGGAGAACACAGAGACCCCACACAGAAAGAACCTGGATACACCATAGTTTCAATATTAGATCATATTTATATTTAACTGTATTTAGAGCTAGCAACAAGATGCTGAACAAAATAATGCATCACAAATGGCGAACTTTGTCTGGAATGTTTGTTGGACTGCTGACGTCAGTAAAACAAACATTCCTGAAATGTGGTCTGACAGTCAGACTAAACAGAAAACGGGAAATGAATTAATTTAATGAAAACACACATCAGGAGCAGCCTCTCCATTCAAATGGATGCAGGCAGATAGATCTCAACCACAATAACTCTGTGTCTCGCTATGTGACAATTTAATGCCGAGAGCAACACAGAGCATGCAGACCATAAAACACATAATCAGGAAATCCTGTCTCTGAAAACTAAAGCACAGACACTTTGAATCTGTGGAGAAAGAATAATCAGATTACTTTTTTAAATAAAAGGTAAATGGACTGTATTCATTGTGTTTTTCTTTTTATGCATGGCCATATAATATAGAAAGTCTATATTTAAGACTTTGAGGTTCTACACAACACAGCCTGCAGGGATGACAGATGACCCCTGTGTGAATACTATGACTAATATTGATAAGCTATGTTTCACTGCCATGATCCCAAAGCATCCTGGCACACAGTAAGCAGGTGTCTGACTGTTTGGTTTCTAATATCACAGACACTGAAGGGTCTAATTCGACACACATCTGTTTGCCATGCACGTCCGCATGCAATGGTCTGTTTCATAAAACGTGTGAGAGTCCAGGTATCTTTGAAATCTGACATAAAACAAACTGTTTTACATCACACCAAGCACATCTGGCTCTGAACGTGACAGGCTCATTTTAATATGTTACACTACCTTTGGCTTTGATCATCTATCTGTCTACACAACAGTATAAATTATGAATAATTCAAATTGATTAAATTACTTTTTTTTCTGGGAAGGGCTGTATGGTTAGATTTTTTTTAAAATTTAAATCAAATGGAAATATTGAATGGACATCAAAAATGGAAAATGATGGGTTGATATGCTGTTGAAAGACAAGAAGTGCAGTACCAGAAAGAATGAGTCATAGACTGCTTTTAATAATTAAACTAAATAAAAACGATTGAACTGATAATAATGTAATTATTATCAAATTAACATCATTCAACAATAATGATAATACAATGTTTTAAAGACTTGATGCATGAGATAAAACTGAAATAAAACATTTCTGGTTAATAACAAACTTTTTCTTAGTTTCTCATTGTTTACCTTTTCCTCTGGAACACTACTTCCGGCGTAGAAGAAGAGACTCAGGTCGTTGAACGTAAACACCGGTAGACACGTGTTTATCGGGATTAGCTTCAAGCTAGCGGACAACACACTGACTCCAGCCCATCTGAACCACGCTGACGTCTGTTTCACTTTGGTATTCGCTGTTTTCTAACTCCAGCCATCATTGTTTCTGTGTGTCAGCATCAGCCCAGGCGACAGTAGCTGTGGTGGTGTCATGCTAACAGGAGCTAGCTTCACTAGCATGAAACGCGGATGTTGACCGTGCTGTCGCGTTAGCTGCACAGACGCGTTCGCTCCCATCGAGCTGAATAAGAAGATAATTACAGCGACACGTGAACATACGTGGTTAACCCAAGGTGGTGATTTTAAACCCTCGGCTGCTAATCGCCACGTTGTGTGCGGTCGCTTGTGTTTAGCTAATTTTACGGTAGCTTTGTTGCTTCAGCTGATGATCGGTATTCACGTAGTTTTCTTACGTGGAAGTCGTGATTCCAGTGTAGAAAGGTTGATGTGAGAGTTGTCAGTTTATTAGGAACACAATACAAAACCAAAACACAGGCAGTCTAACACAACATCCCTCCACTCGATCCTTTCTGAGGGTTACACCGTTCAGATGTTGATTAAAGTACTTCACACAAGTTAGTCAAGTTATAAACTCTCTGTTTATTATATCACTAAAGATGTTTAGTGATGCATTCATTTCTTTTACTTTTATATTGTTTACTTTTACATCCAGACTTGATTCATCTATAGTTAAAGTTAAATTTAAAAATATGATAAAAGTAAGATTGGATCTAGAATCCAAGAAGTGTAAACTGGCAGAAAATGGAAATACTTAAAGTACAAGTACCTCAGTTTGCATGGTACTTGTGTATTTTGAGAAATGGTGCTGTGGATAGAAGATGATAGACTATCAGTGATCATTTCACTCTATGGTCAGAAAATTAATTGTGATTTTTTTTCATTAATGAAATGAATAAATGTTATGCTTGGCAAATATTGAAAAATTAAAAAATAATATCAGCTAACAGGTTTAAAAAAATGGAAAAGGGACATAAACAATATCAAGAAATTATTATTTTAAACTGATCAGTGAACACAATTTCATGCATACATAATCTGTATAAACTCACAGATAGTGGCAGTAGATAGTACTTAAAATAAAATCAGAAGATAGACATTTAAACCTAACTCTGTGCTCTTGTAACAAGGAAATGGTGGCATGTAAGCTGTAATCATATTCCTATATTTCAATTCTAGACACCATTCAGTGTAATCACAGTATTAGTATTATAATAAAATACAAATACCTCCGTCCCAACTCAATCCATCTATCTTGAAAAGACTCAGATGACCTTTTTATCAACAACCTTCAGCTTGTTTAATGGTTTTTCCACATTATTGCACGCGTCTCTTTTACAGTTATGTAAATGTTGGTTTATTTCTGTTGGCTAATATTTGATTGTCGCCCTCGTTCAGCTCTAAATGTAGGTCCCACGTACTGAAGACTGGTCTGTCAACATCTAAAGAGCAAGTATGAGCAGCCTGGATCCCGACCAGCATCTCCAGCTTGGTTGCCGTGACAAAACAACAGTCTCCAGCGATTCATCAGACACTCATGAGTCAGCCAAGCAGCCTCTCCACGGTCTAAAATTGGCATCACATGCAGTGCTGGAGAAAGCACAGCAGAGGGGCAGGTTGAAATGCTCTAAATGTGGAGGTTCAAGGATGTTTTTCTGCTACACATGCTGCTCGTTACTGGGTGTCAGCCTGCAAGAAATCCCCTTAATCAAGGTCAGTAAGAGGTTAGGGCTCACTTGATTGTTCTTTTCAGAGAGGCCTTCAGCTTTGCAGTTGCTATAATAGCCTCATCACAATATAGTGGAAAAAGTTAAGTCATTTCTTTTGTGTAAGATCTATGGAATAATGCACATCTTGTGGGAATTGAACTGTCTTCTACATATCGTGTGTTGTGCTCAGCTTCCAGTGAAGATAGACATCATCAAGCATCCAAATGAGACAGATGGCAAGAGCACGGCCATCCACGCCAAGATCCTCGCTCCGAGTGACGTCACCATATACACTTACCCCTGCATACCTGAGTATGAGACGGACAAGGTTAGTTTTAGAGGCATATTGATTTTTGGGAGCTAAAGAATTACAGAGACCAATATATGATATATGAGTACTGAAAACAACTGTCGATGATTCATAGGATGTCATAATGAAAC